AATTGAATAGAAGGCTCCTGTTGTACAATATTAGTTGAAATATATTAAAAATACATAGGCAAGATTTTTTTTAAGCATTTTAAGTTCAAATTTTGAAAAAATTCATGTTATTAAAAATTCACTAATAATTGCATAGCTGAAAAAGGGTGAAACATGTAAAACTAATATACAAACACATTTTTTTTATAGCTTGTTATGAAAATATCTAGACGAAATTACATAATAAATAACCAAGAATAATGATTTATGTTATTTTGTTGAAAATTAAAAATATTATTAGGGGGTATATGAAAGTTTTAAAGTATATTATTATATTTTATACACATAATGGGGCTATTTAAATGTATTTTTTTTGAAAATGAATTTAATCTACTGCGTATTACTAATATGCTTACTAAATTACTAAGTAATATTATATACACTGATATAGTAAAAGAACATTTTCGCTCAGAATCATTTTTCGTATACAATGATTCTATATCATTGAATTTAAATTTAACACCATCCGTCAAAACGATCCACTTGTAACCTACTGTACCTACAGTAGTGTGACATTCACTTAACCGCTATTTTATATTTTAAATAAAATTTAAATTCTTAAATATTAATGTTTTTTTCTTTTTATTTACATCAATAAACATCGATTGACATTAGCGGGTACATCATTTTGATAAACAATACATATAGTTATTTTTAAGGTAAATATAAGTTCAAAACAATGTATATAAATATATGAATTTTGTATACGTATTACGCACACACAAAAAAAAAACAACAAATTTTCGCATTACTAAAATACTAAATAGAAAAATAGAATTAATCAATAGAAAATAATTTCATTTTTGAGCAGATTTGCTACTATGTATCAAAGACCAAAATTTATATAAGTAATTTCGTATTATAATGTGAAAGTAGCCGTTATGGAGGTAGATATTGTAAACTCGGAGAAACCCGCTAAGTGTGGATGCCGGATGATTTGTCATGGCAATATAAATACAAAAAAAAAACAAACAGTGACTATAAATATCTAACAAAGTATGTGCACGCTATGCCATTATTGTGTTCTAAGACCAAATTACAGACTGACGGAGATGTTTCTGTTTTTGGGTAAACGACAGATCAGATTGGCCTTGGCGCCAGGGTGTGTCTGCTGTAGGTGGCGCGCTTGTGTTGTCTACAACCATAGACCGCGAGACAAGCCGACGGCCTGACTCATTGTCTTCGGCGCTTGAAACACCCACAACAAGAAATCACCCGGAACATTTTTTCCAGGCGGTTACGGATCCTTTTCCAGACTCCGATCGGTGGTGTCTGGGCGAGGAGATCCCACTCGCGGCGCTCGATCCGTCTATCTGGCACAATCTCAGGCTCAGGTTCAATCAACACGGACGTTTGTTCACTCACTGCACCTACTGGTGCCGATACCTTAATGTCCGTTTTGTCGGATTCGTTTAGGTTATGTTCGGATTGCAGTCTGGCCGCCATTCTCATGTGGAGAAAATGAAACGCCGTACGCGGAAGGTCTTCCGGGTACGGCGCTATTATTCTTCCAACTGTTGGCAGGGAAGCCAGTGATCCTGCAGACGTGGCCACCACATCTTCATCAAACTGTGGTTCCTCCGAGCTGCTGCGTGATTTGGACGGTTCTCCTAATTCTGTGGCGACGTGATCGACCGTCGGAGCTTCAACCGTCTCCACCATGCAGTAATTGTCGTTAACCACGGTCACCTCAGTGGTTTCCTCTTGCACAACATCCGACTGATCTTATAGAATATTTCAAAAAATAATAACTGTTAATAATTTGTGACGAGCCATTTACACACATAATAAATTGTTTTTTATTTTAAATGTTGAATAACTATTAAAATAACTTACTGTGCTGCGATCGAGTTCTAATTACGTATATTTACGCAATGTATCGTATATAATAGATTTTTACCCAAAACCCTAGTCTAAAATCAATTTAAAATAATGATCTATCCATGAAAGCTATCAGTGTGTGTGCATTGCCTTGGCAAACAATGTAATCGGAACAGTAGTGTACTTAGAACTTGACCCCCTAACTAATATTATTTTCATAAAAATTCAAAATTTACATGTATTTTGTATTTTATTTTATTGTGTGTTCCACTTGACCTTTGGACTAAGATGATTACGGCACTTAATCACAATTATATTTAATGAACTAATAATTACTGATTCATCTGTAGACGCCAGAAGAAGTGACGTGTTGGCGCTCCGTGGTTCGTCCAAGGGGTTGCATGGTTCGGACGGTAGTCCGAATACAGAGGTGACGCCGTGGTCGGCCAACTGCGAATCAACCATCTCTACTACACAATGATTGTCGTTGACCGCGGTTCCATTTATTGCAGCAGCGTCCACTAGCATAACACTGGACTGCTTGTATAGGATAGTACAGAAAAAATAAACTGTTAAAAATATGTGTTGCAAGTGTACAGAAATATTAATCTAATAATTACTGATTCCTGTAAGAGTGGCGTGTTAGTCTCTGACGGAATGAGGAGTTCCGGGATATCAGTCTCCGCCACTAATTCTATCTTGTCGACATTGGCGCGAGCGATCACGTTGTCTTTCTGCATCTCTTCCAAATATTTTGACATTATACGAGTATATGACTGCGATTAATCAAATTACAGTAATAACGTTTGGTAATTTCTGAAGATAAGTCTACAGGAAATATGTCAACGTTTAAAGTTTGAAGTTTTATGAATACTAAAATCAAAATGGCTTTTTTAATTTAATAATTTATATTTATTTAAACAAACTAATTGTGCTGTTATTTTGTGTCGATTATTGTAGCCAGTCAATTACATTTAAAAATGTACCAAATTCGCAATAATGAAACACTGTCAATTTTTTACATACCTTTCTGTAACTTTCCCTCCATGTTCTTAAAATGAATATTTTGTATGCAAATATTTAGCATGCAATTAGCAGGAATTTGAACGAATATTTTCGTAATTTTCACGCTTTTAGAATAAGCGTAAATTTAAAAATATACATTTAGGGCTGGAGAAATGGATACACAAACGTATGTCAATTCTTTAAAATTTAATTATTTATTCTATCATACTATTTTTGACACATCATTTTCATAACAAATTGACTACTCTCCATTTTTTTAGTTGCTTTTTCTTCTATAGGTGTTTACAGAAATGTATTCAACATCTGGTGACCATTAAACCAGTAAACCAGTAACTGGTCACCACGGTCACAGCCGTTGTAAAGTCTTCCCGTTGGTGATGAAGCACCCCCGCCAGTGCCACCTTGGCTGACGTAATCATCTTTGTTTCTAAAATAGCCATAATTTGGGCTCAAACATAAAAATTATCATTTCATTAAACATGGGTGATGATCAGTATTTAACACTTAATATAATACGTAGCTGTTATACACGTCCTTTGACAATACCGAAGTACTGTAAGACAAATTTAGTGTAAAATGTATCTTTAGGAATACATAAATATAATGTTACAAATATTTATTTAAATTAAATATACCTAGGTATTGTACCTGTATGGCTGTATGTAAGGGAGCTTGTAAATTGGAACAGCATTGAGCAGGTAGTAAAAATACTGTATTAAATTGGGGCCGAAGTTTTGTGGGGTCTAAAATGGGTATAGTAAATTGAACCCGGGTTTTCAGGGGTCTAAAATGGGTATTTTAAAGTGTGCGCTTAATACCTATTATATAAATATTATTTATATCTTAAAAAATGTTGTTCATTCATTTATTTGCAGATAAAATATTAGAGTTACAATCTGTAGTTTATTTAAAACCTTATAGTATAAATGAAAAATGAACCTTATAAATTTCAAAATATAAATAAAACAAAAATGAAAAAAAATGAAAAAATTATTCAACAATACAATAAAAAACACTATTATGAGGGCTGAATATGTGAAGACGATGTTTCATTATCATGCTGATAACATATAACTATATTTTTTATTATTACAATTTTTAACAAAAAATATTTAAAATAACTAATATTAATTCAATAATATAGGCATTTATATTTTTTAAATATTTTTTCTATTTTTATAAACAAAATCTTTATTAACTTAATCATTTTTGAAAAACAGTGATATTCGCCTCCTTTTGGTGTCCTCTGAGTAATGCTAAATGACTATCATAAAAATGATATTTCTATTGGGCGCAATTTACTAAATAGATATTTATACCTGAAATATACAAGGTGCAATTAATTTTTTTCCCTTCTTTGGTTAGAATTTAGGTTTGCCTGTATATACGAGTGGTTGACGTGGTGGCCGTGATAATATTTCCATCCCGACCTAAACACTCTGCCAAAATCGGCGTAAAAGCGCTAAGTATAAAAAAACCATGTCTAAAAGTTGTGATATAATTTTACAGCTAAGTCATTGGACTATAGATATCATATAAAAATAATCTGCTAATAATTCTAATAATTGAACTTATAGCTTGGCAACTTTGTTGCAATTGATTGCAACCCACTATTTAAATGATAGTAGACTAAATATAGGTACTCATTATCCTATAGTTTTTTTTAAATTTTTAACTTAAATCGCCAATAAGCTAAGTTCAATTATTACGGTCTATTAGGACATTTCGGCGTGGCCATTTCGGCGTAGGGCCGTTTCGGCGTAGGGCCATTTTAAGAAATTATGTAGGTCACTATAAAATATAAATATAATAAATAAATAATAATAAATAATAAAAATAAATAAATAATACAAATTTAATTAAAATAAGGAGAATGCTATTAAAATTACAAATAAAAATATTCAGGTCATCATACTTAAATTATGTTCTATTCCTCTTAAAAAACTCATAATATTACGATTATCATAATCGCTGACTAATTTTAAAATACGTTTATCGACGTCAATGTATTTTTTTTTCTTTTTTGGTGAACTTTTGCCTGTTTCTAATTGGCAAAAGAAGGTGTCTCGGCCACTTTGTACCTATTCTCCTTAAACATGATATAAATGCCCATCAGTGGCGCCGAAGTCCATGCTAACGTCGGGCCATGGCCCGACCTCTTTTTTTAAAAATGTGGCCAGACGGCCACATTTTATTTACATCATAACTTTATTATGAGCATGCGTATATTAAATCCACGTCACTGTAATTACAAGTAAATATATATTGGGTTAGGTACTTCTATATTAAATAATTAATTTATTGAGGTCTCAAAGTTTCGAAATTGCTCCACCACATTTTTAAAACTTCGGCGCCACTGATGCCCATAGTGTCGGGTGGTCAACGGCCATTTGTAGATTAAGCCGACGATTTGCCGCTTCAGCGTGATTATTTGTTCGATCTTCTTTACTAAGTACGCGATCATGAACGTTCCAAATTATAGGGGGGAAAAGTGGGATTCGACGACGATTTCTTACAACTGTACCGATGTAGTTTTCTTCAAACCACTCTAAGAGAGGAAATATTTCTTCAGGCAGTTCATCATATAATAAGTTAACACTATTGTAAATGTCATCAATTTTAACAAAAGCTAAAGCCAAAATCATTTTAACATAAATTGAAAATTCTGCATCATTTTTATACTTCGAAAATAATTCCAGGTCACCCATTTTAAGTCTAAAATTTTTTGTCAAATTAAATAAACATCCGTGAATTTGAACTTCAGGGAAATTGTTTTTAATTGCTTTGATCGCAGCTTGCTCAAAATCGCAAGCAATTGATTTTGGTTTTAACCCGGGTTTTAATTCAATTAATATTTTAAATAACCGCTCATACGTTTGATTTTTTTTATCGGGTAAAAGAGCATAAATAAGGGGATGAACACCATCGAGGTATTTACTTAATATTACGTATACTTGTGAAAATAAATGATGTGCTACTTTAAAAGTGCCATCGACATACCAATTGGAAGACTCTGATAAAATATTTAAATTTTGAGGGCGACAAAAAATTAAAATTCTGTCGACTCCAGGTTCACTATCGTGTAGTAAAAATTGTTCAGTTACACCTTCAGATGGCGAATACGACTGGTAATTCACTGGTATTATTAATGAAATTAAATCTTTTGGAGCATCGGGTGCAGCTTGAATTTCACGCCGTACGCGTCTTATCTGTTTTTTTAAAGCTCCATCGGCCGTCAATGCTCCCTAAGTAATTAAAAATTAATTCTCAATTGAAGTTATTAGAATTTTGATATTTACTTTTCCTGCTTGTGATTATCCACTCGTACATTCATTTATGATATTTGATGCCTACTCCATTGTCTCACGTGCTCGTTTTTTCATCTTAGTAACTGCAGAATTAGCTTCAATCTTAGCCGCTTCCGAGTCATGGGTCGAATGTTCATTTATTTGTTTTAAGATCTAATAATTAAAATAATAATTAATGTATTTAATATACTTACTTGATAGTTAAGATAATAAAAAATTGAATTACCTCCAAAGTTTCAACTGTTGTATGAATTCTCGCTTTACACGAATCTTTGTAACGACATCGCCAAAACTTTTTTAATTTATTTGCACTAAATGCATCAAAAATATACATATACCCATCATGTACAAATATTTCACGTCCACGGAAAGTTTCAATTGCTTGTGTCATGGTGACTACTAACTACTGACTACTTGACTATCTTATATTACTCAATGATCGTCTATCGATACAGCGTAAAGGTTAACTATACCTATACATATATATCTTTATTATTTTTTTTTTTATTAAATTAAGTCCGCGGCAGCTGGGCCATTGGACTGCATATCTTTATTAACTTAGACGGTAATATAGATTATGTGATGCGACAGTCTAATCCCATAATATATATATATTATTATTATTATTATTATTATTATTATATACAGTTATACGGCATACCTGCATCTAACCGACGAAAGTCAGATAAAAACTGATAAATGATATATATAATATTATATATATATAGGTACAATATAAGCAATGCTTACATTTATTATCTAAACTCGATTAAATGAAAAAATGAAAAAATAATTAAATGATAAAGGACTACGCCGAAATAGACCCACGCCGAAACGGCTCTACGCCGAACCGCCTACGCCGAGATGGCCACGCCGAAATGTCCGGATACTCAATTATTAGCAGCCTATTTTGACATATATGATATCATTAATTTAAAGACTAGCTAAAATATATGACAACTTTTAGAGCTGGATTTTACATAATTAGCATTTGTTACATGGAGTTTTGCAGTATGTTTTTGTTGGAAAACGCAATCATTTTTTGTTGTTGTACATATTATTGTTATTATTATTATTATTATTATTAATATTTGTATTATATATTTTTATACATTTTAAGATTAATTTACCTTTCAGTGATAATAAACTGAAATAATATGTAGCAGAATTCATTGATAACTTATTTTTTGGGAACTTATTGGTTTTACAATAATGAAAAGAGTAATTAAACTGAAAAGAGATCGTTCCCGTTTATGTAAAATGTCTAATTAGCTGACAATTGTAATTTTAAACTTAATTCGCTTAGCTTTCTCAATAATTTTTTTGCTGTCTATCGTGTTGCCAATGTGTTGCATTTTGGAAGATGTTAAACTGGGGAAAAATGAATCTTTTTCTAAAAGTTGATACCTAATATTAAACTGTGACGATTGACGAATAAAAAATAAACAATCTATGGTAAAATAAAGATACATAATACAAACTGTGACAATTTATTGTATGTATAGGTACCTACGATATATATACATACCAACATGATAACATATAATTAGTTCTCATAATTCAGTTAGGAATAAACGTATTATACGTATTACGGTATAGATTTACACTGTTTTCATAACCACTTATATTTGATTCATAATTAAATTTAAATTTAATATTATTGAACACTAATACACTGTTAATTACTCAACCGTAGTTAGTAGGTATGAAGTAATGTTTAAAGTGTCCGATACAGTATCATGCTTAGTATTGTAACTTAACTGATTTTTATTGATATAATCTTCATAAAATATAACGAGTTACTTTGAATAAAGGGGAAATTACGTTTAATTTATAAATAATGAGCTGGCCCCCACAACCACATTTTACGTTTCCTCCTTCTTACAATTATAAAATATATCAAAAACTGTTTTTGGCGTCAAAAAATTGATAAGACTACAGTCTAAACTTACTAAGAATCGAAATTTCCACCCATAAAAATGAGAACTTTTGCTGTGAAATATTGTTTTTTGGTATCGAAACTACAAAAAACGTTATTAATGTTTGAAAAAATTCAAAAATAATGGATTTTGAATCAATAAGAACTTTTGTATATATGTGTCAAAAAAATATTCACAGATAATGTTCTCAACTATATTGTATAACAATTTGGAATCTTAACTGTCGATACAACTTGAGTGGTTCTATCCCGTGCAAAACAGTTTGTGCTATGTTGTACATTAACTGTAAAACGGAGACAATATAACTTGCGGGTGTAACGTCCTTTTAACCAGAATTGTTAAATAAAAATAAATAAATTCATATATAATATGATATACTCATATACTTATACCAAACCATATCGCGGCATACGGGCATATTATTTTAACAATAATAATAATATTACTTGTTTATAAAATAAATAAAATAAATAAATACTAATACAATGTAGGTACAACGTACAAAACGTACAATTCCGGAGAACATGAGTTATAATATATTTTCGTCATTATGGTATAAAATGGCACAAATGAAAGTTTTTACAGTCTTAAGTTTTTAAATTAAGACCAATTGAGTTATGATCATATCTGATAATTAAAGTGTTAATTGTATGTATAAACATATGATAGTGTCTATAATATTCATGATTATTAATATTTAAACCATATTACAGTCTAATGTCTATGTATATAATATGATACTATTAATAAAAAAAAAACATTTCTAAAGTTGATAAATTAGGTAATTGTGTGTTTCCATATAAAAAGATTATGATAACCATAATATTAACTTCAAACTTTGCAAAATGTTTTATATCAACTCAACTCTTAGCTCAATTAAAAATTATCATTAACTTGCCCAAGCTTCCATATAGGCACCTATATAATTTATGTTATTGAAATATCGTATCAATATGTCATAATATGTGATATCTATATGTATATACGACATACGTACAGTTAGTGTTTGAAGTATAAAATATTTCACAAAAACATGAAACATTGAAATTGTTTTAATACAAATATTAATGATTGTTATTTGTCAATTGATTATTTTATAGTTAAGGAGTTCTTAGTTGAATCATTGATATGAATGCAAAGAGTTTCCGTATTGGAATGTCTGGAGCCTAAGAAAACCCCGAAAATAACCTCAATGTTCACTTATATATAGGTAAGACTAATGTAGATTAAATGTACTGCCAACATTTTAGATGATCAGGATTTTTGAAGAGCTCGGGAAATCTACATAAACTAATTTTGGTTTCCCCCGATAAACTACACCACTCTAATATACGAAAACCCATCAGTGGCGTTACGTTAGTATATATACTACACGATAATCATATATAACTCATTATTGTTATTAATCATTTTAATGTATTGACGAAATAAACTATAATATATTATGTGATTGTGACTCAAACAACTTTATGGCGGCATCATAATATGACAAATGTAATTCGGACTGAAAATCAATCCAAAAAATATTATCAACTTCCATTAAAAAAAAAAGAATTTAATAAAGAATGGGTAGAAAATGATAATTATGATAATCTCACCAACGTCAACAACGTTATTACATAATTACTTAGGTAGATGTTTTTATCCTAGGTTCATCCTACGGTTGCCCGTGCTTTTCGGCACAGGTGCGATTGTCTTTCAACATTTGCGTCATTGCAAGGCGGCGCTTCTCGTGGAAAGAACCGTCACCATGGCAACCTGAGCTCAGATCAATAAAATAATAATGTATTGCAGCTAGCAACAGCTCCGTGGTATCCGGGAAAGTATAACAAATCCGACAGCGGTTGAAGACTATCATCGGTTGTCGACGAACAGCTATAATAGCCTATCATAGTTATCGTCCTTTATCGTTCAACATCCCGTCGAAATGGAGCCTCACAGCGATTGCAGAAACAGAACAATGAGCAAATCAGTCAGGCTATACTTGCACTACGTGTTCTATCACCCACGCTTGGTTTGCAGGATTATGGCTTCGTTGAACGGGGTTGGTAATTAGTATATCAAGTTTTTTAATCTATAATTCACATAATTATGAAAATAATTTTAAATTTGTTCACATCTCGTGACTATATTATAAATTGAATAATTTATCCGGTGTTGTATTCCTGTAACAAGCAGCCATTCATATTCATCATTCATTCGGATCACAATTTGAAATATTTCGTTTTTGATTTTCCCAACTATTCAAACGTGAGGTGCCACTTAAATCGTGCAATATAGCTGAATTTCAGAGAGGTTGTGTCGAGTGTTGACAGCGTGAGTTACCTAGTAGAAGAGGGAGAGCTAATCATCTCTAGGTATCATAGAGTTAATGGCGGATGCGGAATTCGATTTTATTGGTGAGCGGAGGAGGTTAAGTTGCAAACACTAGATTCTAGTGCAAAGATTTTACTCTATAACACCACCCCACCATCCATTTTGAATATAATGTTTACATATACATACTATTCTAATATTTACATAAGTGTTGAAGTTATTGGTATAATATGGTCTTAAATAATAACTAATAATTATTAAATTATTGCTCAAAATAAATGACTGAAATACATTGTTTTAATTTTGACGGAGCATAACAATATAAGATTAAGAAGCCATAACATATATATTAAGATGATTTAAAGCCTAATTTAAATTGTTATATCTTATAATCTTATATCATAGGCGATCTCCTGAAACCAGCAATATATCCACAATCTAAAAACAAAATGTATTGCATGAATTTAGAAAATTCAAATTAATTTAGATCTCACTCACTATTACGAGTTATAAGTTACTTATCATACACTGCATATGTATGCATAAGCTAAATGATGATTATGATGTATTGCCTACAAATATTTCTTAACATATTTATTAAGAATCATATTATATTGTCTATTCATCGATATAAAAGTCTTCTGAGTAATATTATCTTGAATATTTATACTTACTTATATAATATGATACATACTACAGGTTAGGTTATATATATATATATATTATATTGCAGTATATTGTGTATATAATATTGTTTGGTTCTACATGATTGTTTTAATTTATTAAATTCCATTTTGATTAACAAAAAAGTATTTACAATATAATATTACTAAAATTATACGATAATTAATTGTAAAACTTGTACAATAATTAATTTTACAACATATTCATCAATTTAGAAGTGATGATGAAATTGACTATCATTTAGTTGATTCGGGGAATTACTAAGTGATGTTGAAATATGCTCTGATAGATAAGCTTTTTCCCTGAACTCTTCGTATGCAACTTAATAATTATATTAATAACTTTAAAAGTTAAATAAATTCAAAAATATTAAATTGACTGAAAATGATTTCATGCATGTTTCATTTGTTATACATATTTTTAGGTATTTTTCATGGCACTTAGCTCGATTTTGTTATGCAAGATATGGTATGCCGTATATTCCAAACATCAATCGTCTCTTACTTCCAAGCCTAGTAACGATGGTAAGTCTATACTAATAATATATAATAGGTACTACATTATTATGCTTTTAAATAAATACAACACTGATTGTACTAATCATTGTTCGTGGTTGTTCGGCTAATCAGTAAAATTCCTCATACTTTATCATATGAGTAATAATACATTGTCATCAATATTGCAAAAAAATTGTCTCTAAATGTTAATAGGTACTCTTAAACTATTACGTGTAAAATAATAATTAAAATTTAAAATTTAGAAAGAAAACGAATCCAAATTTAATAACAATGTTTTGTTTCACGTGTTTGTGCGTATATATAGACTTAACTTTTGGTTTGGATTTACAAATACCAGTCGGTTTGATGAATAAAAATGAAGATAAAGTGATCACCAAATCGTTGTTCAATTTGTGTTTTACTGGTATGATGCTTCTTGTCAACATTCGTCTGTATATGGCAACCTACAATGTAAGTTATTGGGATCATCATGACATTATTTTTCTTATTAAAATATATGTGAATGAATGGTAAAATCATAACTCAGTGTCGTATGTCTATTGCTTTGAAATAAAATCCGAAACATGTACATTTTTGACACTGAAAAAATGTCCTAAATTTGAAAATAAATCTAATAAAATGGTGCAACAGGTATGTTATGATCTGTGCGTATAGTAAATTAATAATTGTAATAATACAAAATTGTATGGAAGAGATCGGATACGAAATATGTAACATGGGTCAATTGTAACATCATCGATTTTATTTACAAGTTCAATACAAAAATATCAAAGAAAAGGGACTCACTGTATTGCAATTATTTCCTCTTCATCAATGTGGCGTTATTATATTTTTCTTATAAAAAAAAAAAGGGATAAGTTCACCTAAAATATTTTATGTAAGTTAATTTGTCCCTTAACTCTGTTTTTATAATGGTCCCGGAATGGAATACGTTTGTGACAATTTTTTTTTTTTATAAAATGTTATTGATTCACCTTTGAAAGTTAAGATTCATTAAATGTATATTTATACTATTATAATGTTGCTTATCGATTTAGTGCAAAAAAGAACTAAAAAGTTTGAATTTTCTTAGAAATATATTATAATAGCTGATCCCATGCACTTCGTTCCAGTTCAAAATACCAACTCAATATGATTCAAACTTTGTTCAATTCGTTATTTAACCTTTTATGTAATGGTAGGTATTTAAAATTTAAAAATTTCTATCAATCATCTTGAATCTCAATACTTATGCAAGAATCACTTTAGAATGCGAATTTTGAAAAATCTATGTTGGTGTGCACTTACATGGTGGTTCGAATATACAGTGAAAATGGCAAGCCTCATATTATTATTTTGTAGGCTCTACGTTGAATCAGTTGGTGGGTCATTCGGGACTTGTCCGGTTATTATTATTTTAGCCCCCCCTGCGGAGTTTCCCGTGATACTCGCTTGTGATTACGCGAGCAGTACCTATGTATTATCAATAGACCGCAAAAAACGTGGTTAATTGTATAGTTTCTAACTCCCAAATTTAAAAGTTATACTAAATTGAATACTTTTACTTACTTAAACGTATAGACTATAGCCGATTGAATACAATGGGCGATCTGGTGGTTTTTGGTATAACTGTGTATAACCTCTCTTCGTCAGACAAAACATTATAAATTATTTCAAAATAATGAGTTACATTGGTGTATATAGGTTTTGGTGTAAAAGAATTCAGATAGTAATACGCCAGGATGCAATATGTCAGAAATCTTCATGGAAATGTAAATACTCAGTAACTTCACATAGTTTCTTTGTGATTGGACATATATTTGCTTTTATGTACTTAAAAAATGACAGAGCTTATCATGAATCTTATATTCTTATCATACACAAAATGTATTATGTGCAACATTTTTTCCCCATAATATTTTAGAAACGTTTCTTGGGGTGCCTAAAGCCCGGATGGATGGGTAGAATAGGATTCCATACTGTCCTTATCAGAGTACGGAATCGTGCACATTTTAAGGCACACAATTCCGTACATTTTATACCCAAAATTTTATTGCAATGTGGCAAATTTGCATAAGGTTATGTAAGGGTATTTGACTATTTGACCTAGTTATAACGTTTTATGTACGTTTTGGCGTTTTGCGTATACCTAGCTATTAGTGAGGGACCAAAGAAATTATCGGATTTTGTCAGCCGGTCGCTGTGTTCCTACACCTCTTTTAGATCACACAATCAACGAACATAACGAATATTTGATTCACACAAATAATATTTTATATATAATATTATAATAAAATATTTGTTAAGTATTTATAACAACTATCAAGGTATCGAATATCGATATTTTATTATACAAATTGATAAATTTTTAACTTTTTTTTATAACACTATTATTCAAAAAAATTAAACGAACATACAATAATAATAATAAGGGCATCATTGCACAGAAAATCGTACATAAACCGTGTAGTTTTTAGGGTCATTTTGACAAACCATTGTTTGATCAAAACTCAACGGAATCGTGTTCCCAAAAAGGTAGAACGTATGGAATCGTGTTTACCGCGGATGAATAGTATAGGAATAAAGGGTAGACAAACAGACATACATTCGCTTTTATATAATATATAAATATGCACACAAGCATTCAATTAACACGAATAACACTGTTATAAAAAGATATATAATTTATAGTATTATATTATAATAATATCTAATCTGAAATCCTTGTCAATCATATAGTGTTCTTTTTTGATTGGCTACGACATTGCCTCCAGCTTTTAGTGGAAAACGGTTCAAAGATCAGCGTTAAGAAAACCATTTTTACTAACTTGACGTTTAGTGTTGGCGTTTGTGATTGTGATCATACTGGTTTAAAAAAAAACAATGGAATAACTTACACTGACATAGTAAGAAGAATCTATAAGTAACTGATTACAATAGATTAGGACAGTGGATTTTTATTTTAAATTGATGGACAAATGACGCCACTGTTGTATATTTGTGAGCCAAATGTCACTAATGTCTAACTTATGAATAACATAACAAATTGTACATTCAGAATAATTTATTTTAATTCTTTGTTTTTAATATTAGAATAATCTCACGTGTTTCCAAATTTAAAGGTAAGAATATTATTAAGACCTCGTGAAGGATTTTCTTGATATTTTAAACTTAAAACTAGGTATGAGCATTTTAAAGTTATGTTATTTTAGTGAGTTTTAAAATACTTGTAACATGGTTAAAGGTAAAAACATAAAAAAGGCATACGAGGGGACCTAAAGAATGATTTAAGCCTAATCTAATTTCTATCTTCAATTTTGATGGTATATCAATTCACTATGATATTAAGAATAACAGACTAAAATTAACTATTCCGAATTTAAAACTTAAATTTGTGGGAAAAATAGGCGATGTTTTTGTAATGCAACGACATATGTTACCTATTTAAGTATTTAGATGTTTTATCATATTTCATTTAAATATTTGATTAATATATTATTTTAATATACGCACTAATATTCATTTTTTTCATTTTTAATTGATTTAAACCTTTTTTTTATACAGAGAGATCTTTGTAGCATTTCCATTTGGTTGTTTGTACACACAACGCATATGTTGTATTCATTATCCATCAATTTGTGGGTCGGAGTTGCCAAAGGTTATAATTCACTTATATATCTTGCTCTATTTAATACTTGTAAGTATACCGATCGTTTATTAGAGTATCGTTAAATGAATTATCATTTAACATTAATAACTATTTATATTTAAATTACTTCTAGTGCTTTATCTTCTGTTCATATCGTTGGTGGCATTATTTTGGATGGAAGAGCGGTGCAGCATGCGCATTCCAATGCGCGCTAACGAGAAAGCAGGAACAAGCCAGGAGCGTATGGCTTAAGGTTAAGGTTATAATATAAATATAACAAAATCTAAACTCATTAGTCAATTTAGAATACACAGGATAACCAATCATGTAATAAATATAATATTATTTATTATAAGTAAGATATTTTATAGGTACCTTTATAATTTAAACATAAAATGAGAGGTACCTTTGTCCATTATATAACAATATATATACTAAGTAACAATAAGATTCCAAGCGTCATAGATCAAACAAAATACAAAATCTCTTACATTACAATTTTTATTTAAGTAAAAAAATAGTTTCTAATTTATTAAAAGTAAAAAAAGATTTCCAATACTTTTTGGGTTATAATCATAAAAAAAAAACTGTATCAGAAATCAGTTACCGAAAAATATAATAGTTAATTTTACCAAATATAATGCAATGATTAGACACCCGGACATCGAGAGTTTTATTTATGAATGTATATTTTCTTGATCTAACAATTAACTGAAAATTAATAAACAAATTTCATAAACAGTCATAAATTATAATTGTAGATAAAACTTCTTAAAAATCAGTATCAAGTCTTGATGTTAAATTGCGTGACGTTGATAAGTTAGTCAAGGGAATTTCGTAATCAATTAAATTATCTGTAGATCTATGGGTCGTTAATAAAAACAATTCAGTTGGTTTATCCGTTTGTGTGGTGATGATAAAAAATATAGGTACTATATGTATAGATATCAAAAATAAACTATTTCATGGCTATCTGTACAAATTTATTTCATTATTTTGAAAAAAAGTTATACCACTAAATATAAATACAATCTAACGTTGATACGTTACAAGATAAATAGTTTTGATTTTTCTAAACAAATAAAATACAGTAGTTAAACACAAAAATAATCAATTGAACACTTTATTTGTAAATATATTTCTTCATCAAATTCCCTTTAATAAAACGCTCAAAATTAATAATTAAATTTCTTATATAATCATAGAAGTACTGGAAACTCCTTAAAAATCAATTAACTGTTTGGATGTCAGTGATACATTTTTAGAGGGATTTTCATAATTAAATTAAATTATACATTTAAAAGCATTGATGATGGTTAAAAATATGAGTCAAATAATAAAAAAAAGTTACTGGCAAATATAAATACAACCTATTTGCAGTGAATACATTTTTATATTATATGTAGTATTCTTTAAATAAAATTTAAAAGTTTATAACATGTATTGACCATTAATTGGTACCGACGGCTTAGGTACCTAAAAAATAATCTACCTCCAGATGGCCTTTACATTTCTAAAAATAATGCGTTATTCACATCATAGACCTTAAAGTTAGCTAGGATAAACTCTGAAGAGTTCGACACTTCGTTACGTTATAAATTTACAACAGTTATTATTAATAAATTTATCAAAATTAAAAATTCCAGTAAGAATTAATTAGGCAAGGTGAATTGTTGGTATAAAAATTATTATTATACATTTATAAACATTGAAAGTGACTGATTCATTTTGTATGCGCTCATGTAATATTAAAGTAATTTCTGAGGAAACTGATAGAACTTTTAAACGTCTGTTTAACTTGATTTAACTGATCATATTTAGAGTGTCTATACCTCAGAATACCTTTGATATTTATGTGATATTATGTTGTATTTTTTTTATTTATACAGCATAATATATATATATTTATTAATAGTTATTCAATGATATCAATATGGCAAATTAAGATGTATTATAACACGTTTTTTATTTTATATTTTTATTGTTTTAACAAAATATTAAATATTTTCTTTAATTCATTTTTCTGAAAAGTTAATACTATCTTATTATAATATTTATATAATTGTTATATTTGTGTGTTTAAAATGCTATATCACGTCAATTGTATTTAATTTTATGAACAAATGAAACTATATTTAAAAATATAAAACTTGGTGAATTATGCAAAAATTGCATTATTTGTGGTGTATAATTTCCGTAATAGCTTACAGTCGTACAAATAAATGTATTGAAACGGGTTTATATTTTCTATGGCATCTGTCTGCGCCGAAGCCACTCCTACTTTTGATTTGCGGTTAGCGGCAACGACTTGCGGGATATTCGGGACGGGGAAAGGTTACCCAGCTGTATATAATGCCTAATACAAATATTATAATAACCAAATTATGGGCGCAGTTCACGCTACATATGTTATGCACAAAAAAATACAATAATAATAATAATAATAAGAAGAAGAAGAAAAATAGCCCGGGCAATTTCGCTCTACAATTACAATAATAATAATAATAAATAAATAAATGAAAAACTCCTAACATGTGAGTTTGACTGTGTAAATCAAATATCAAATAATAATGACTTGACCTGGTCTGCAAGCCCTGGAGAACGGCGTTGGCTCCACGCTGGTAAGGCGACAGCGTCTTCTCCTTTCTCGACAAACAAAGGTATACTGGTAAAATAATTAGTACACGGGCAGCAGAGGCAAAATAAATTGGGGAGCATACTACTTGCGTCCAAAATTATTATCAGTAGGTGAGTTGCGTCCCGCAAAAAAAAAGATTCAAAAAGGTCATATGGTATTTGGACTTGACCTGGTCTGCAAGCCCTGGAGAACGGCGTTGGCTCCACGCTGGTAAGGCGACAGCGTCTTCTCCTTTCTCGACAAACAAAGGTATACTGGTAAAATAATTAGTACACGGGCAGCAGAGGCAAAATAAATTGGGGAGCATACTACTTGCGTCCAAAATTATTATCAGTAGGTGAGTTGCGTCCCGCAAAAAAAAAGATTCAAAAAGGTCATATGGTATTTGGACTTGACCTGGTCTGCAAGCCCTGGAGAACGGCGTTGGCTCCACGCTGGTAAGGCGACAGCGTCTTCTCCTTTCTCGACAAACAAAGGTATACTGGTAAAATAATTAGTACACGGGCAGCAGAGGCAAAATAAATTGGGGAGCATACTACTTGCGTCCAAAATTATTATCAGTAGGTGAGTTGCGTCCCGCAAAAAAAAAGATTCAAAAAGGTCATATGGTATTTGGACTTGACCTGGTCTGCAAGCCCTGGAGAACGGCGTTGGCTCCACGCTGGTAAGGCGACAGCGTCTTCTCCTTTCTCGACAAACAAAGGTATACTGGTAAAATAATTAGTACACGGGCAGCAGAGGCAAAATAAATTGGGGAGCATACTACTTGCGTCCAAAATTATTATCAGTAGGTGAGTTGCGTCCCGCAAAAAAAAAGATTCAAAAAGGTCATATGGTATTTGGACTTGACCTGGTCTGCAAGCCCTGGAGAACGGCGTTGGCTCCACGCTGGTAAGGCGACAGCGTCTTCTCCTTTCTCGACAAACAAAGGTATACTGGTAAAATAATTAGTACACGGGCAGCAGAGGCAAAATAAATTGGGGAGCATACTACTTGCGTCCAAAATTATTATCAGTAGGTGAGTTGCGTCCCGCAAAAAAAAAGATTCAAAAAGGTCATATGGTATTTGGACTTGACCTGGTCTGCAAGCCCTGGAGAACGGCGTTGGCTCCACGCTGGTAAGGCGACAGCGTCTTCTCCTTTCTCGACAAACAAAGGTATACTGGTAAAATAATTAGTACACGGGCAGCAGAGGCAAAATAAATTGGGGAGCATACTACTTGCGTCCAAAATTATTATCAGTAGGTGAGTTGCGTCCCGCAAAAAAAAAGATTCAAAAAGGTCATATGGTATTTGGACTTGACCTGGTCTGCAAGCCCTGGAGAACGGCGTTGGCTCCACGCTGGTAAGGCGACAGCGTCTTCTCCTTTCTCGACAAACAAAGGTATACTGGTAAAATAATTAGTACACGGGCAGCAGAGGCAAAATAAATTGGGGAGCATACTACTTGCGTCCAAAATTATTATCAGTAGGTGAGTTGCGTCCCGCAAAAAAAAAGATTCAAAAAGGTCATATGGTATTTGGACTTGACCTGGTCTGCAAGCCCTGGAGAACGGCGTTGGCTCCACGCTGGTAAGGCGACAGCGTCTTCTCCTTTCTCGACAAACAAAGGTATACTGGTAAAATAATTAGTACACGGGCAGCAGAGGCAAAATAAATTGGGGAGCATACTACTTGCGTCCAAAATTATTATCAGTAGGTGAGTTGCGTCCCGCAAAAAAAAAGATTCAAAAAGGTCATATGGTATTTGGACTTGACCTGGTCTGCAAGCCCTGGAGAACGGCGTTGGCTCCACGCTGGTAAGGCGACAGCGTCTTCTCCTTTCTCGACAAACAAAGGTATACTGGTAAAATAATTAGTACACGGGCAGCAGAGGCAAAATAAATTGGGGAGCATACTACTTGCGTCCAAAATTATTATCAGTAGGTGAGTTGCGTCCCGCAAAAAAAAAGATTCAAAAAGGTCATATGGTATTTGGACTTGACCTGGTCTGCAAGCCCTGGAGAACGGCGTTGGCTCCACGCTGGTAAGGCGACAGCGTCTTCTCCTTTCTCGACAAACAAAGGTATACTGGTAAAATAATTAGTACACGGGCAGCAGAGGCAAAATAAATTGGGGAGCATACTACTTGCGTCCAAAATTATTATCAGTAGGTGAGTTGCGTCCCGCAAAAAAAAAGATTCAAAAAGGTCATATGGTATTTGGACTTGACCTGGTCTGCAAGCCCTGGAGAACGGCGTTGGCTCCACGCTGGTAAGGCGACAGCGTCTTCTCCTTTCTCGACAAACAAAGGTATACTGGTAAAATAATTAGTACACGGGCAGCAGAGGCAAAATAAATTGGGGAGCATACTACTTGCGTCCAAAATTATTATCAGTAGGTGAGTTGCGTCCCGCAAAAAAAAAGATTCAAAAAGGTCATATGGTATTTGGACTTGACCTGGTCTGCAAGCCCTGGAGAACGGCGTTGGCTCCACGCTGGTAAGGCGACAGCGTCTTCTCCTTTCTCGACAAACAAAGGTATACTGGTAAAATAATTAGTACACGGGCAGCAGAGGCAAAATAAATTGGGGAGCATACTACTTGCGTCCAAAATTATTATCAGTAGGTGAGTTGCGTCCCGCAAAAAAAAAGATTCAAAAAGGTCATATGGTATTTGGACTTGACCTGGTCTGCAAGCCCTGGAGAACGGCGTTGGCTCCACGCTGGTAAGGCGACAGCGTCTTCTCCTTTCTCGACAAACAAAGGTATACTGGTAAAATAATTAGTACACGGGCAGCAGAGGCAAAATAAATTGGGGAGCATACTACTTGCGTCCAAAATTATTATCAGTAGGTGAGTTGCGTCCCGCAAAAAAAAAGATTCAAAAAGGTCATATGGTATTTGGACTTGACCTGGTCTGCAAGCCCTGGAGAACGGCGTTGGCTCCACGCTGGTAAGGCGACAGCGTCTTCTCCTTTCTCGACAAACAAAGGTATACTGGTAAAATAATTAGTACACGGGCAGCAGAGGCAAAATAAATTGGGGAGCATACTACTTGCGTCCAAAATTATTATCAGTAGGTGAGTTGCGTCCCGCAAAAAAAAAGATTCAAAAAGGTCATATGGTATTTGGACTTGACCTGGTCTGCAAGCCCTGGAGAACGGCGTTGGCTCCACGCTGGTAAGGCGACAGCGTCTTCTCCTTTCTCGACAAACAAAGGTATACTGGTAAAATAATTAGTACACGGGCAGCAGAGGCAAAATAAATTGGGGAGCATACTACTTGCGTCCAAAATTATTATCAGTAGGTGAGTTGCGTCCCGCAAAAAAAAAGATTCAAAAAGGTCATATGGTATTTGGACTTGACCTGGTCTGCAAGCCCTGGAGAACGGCGTTGGCTCCACGCTGGTAAGGCGACAGCGTCTTCTCCTTTCTCGACAAACAAAGGTATACTGGTAAAATAATTAGTACACGGGCAGCAGAGGCAAAATAAATTGGGGAGCATACTACTTGCGTCCAAAATTATTATCAGTAGGTGAGTTGCGTCCCGCAAAAAAAAAGATTCAAAAAGGTCATATGGTATTTGGACTTGACCTGGTCTGCAAGCCCTGGAGAACGGCGTTGGCTCCACGCTGGTAAGGCGACAGCGTCTTCTCCTTTCTCGACAAACAAAGGTATACTGGTAAAATAATTAGTACACGGGCAGCAGAGGCAAAATAAATTGGGGAGCATACTACTTGCGTCCAAAATTATTATCAGTAGGTGAGTTGCGTCCCGCAAAAAAAAAGATTCAAAAAGGTCATATGGTATTTGGACTTGACCTGGTCTGCAAGCCCTGGAGAACGGCGTTGGCTCCACGCTGGTAAGGCGACAGCGTCTTCTCCTTTCTCGACAAACAAAGGTATACTGGTAAAATAATTAGTACACGGGCAGCAGAGGCAAAATAAATTGGGGAGCATACTACTTGCGTCCAAAATTATTATCAGTAGGTGAGTTGCGTCCCGCAAAAAAAAAGATTCAAAAAGGTCATATGGTATTTGGACTTGACCTGGTCTGCAAGCCCTGGAGAACGGCGTTGGCTCCACGCTGGTAAGGCGACAGCGTCTTCTCCTTTCTCGACAAACAAAGGTATACTGGTAAAATAATTAGTACACGGGCAGCAGAGGCAAAATAAATTGGGGAGCATACTACTTGCGTCCAAAATTATTATCAGTAGGTGAGTTGCGTCCCGCAAAAAAAAAGATTCAAAAAGGTCATATGGTATTTGGACTTGACCTGGTCTGCAAGCCCTGGAGAACGGCGTTGGCTCCACGCTGGTAAGGCGACAGCGTCTTCTCCTTTCTCGACAAACAAAGGTATACTGGTAAAATAATTAGTACACGGGCAGCAGAGGCAAAATAAATTGGGGAGCATACTACTTGCGTCCAAAATTATTATCAGTAGGTGAGTTGCGTCCCGCAAAAAAAAAGATTCAAAAAGGTCATATGGTATTTGGACTTGACCTGGTCTGCAAGCCCTGGAGAACGGCGTTGGCTCCACGCTGGTAAGGCGACAGCGTCTTCTCCTTTCTCGACAAACAAAGGTATACTGGTAAAATAATTAGTACACGGGCAGCAGAGGCAAAATAAATTGGGGAGCATACTACTTGCGTCCAAAATTATTATCAGTAGGTGAGTTGCGTCCCGCAAAAAAAAAGATTCAAAAAGGTCATATGGTATTTGGACTTGACCTGGTCTGCAAGCCCTGGAGAACGGCGTTGGCTCCACGCTGGTAAGGCGACAGCGTCTTCTCCTTTCTCGACAAACAAAGGTATACTGGTAAAATAATTAGTACACGGGCAGCAGAGGCAAAATAAATTGGGGAGCATACTACTTGCGTCCAAAATTATTATCAGTAGGTGAGTTGCGTCCCGCAAAAAAAAAGATTCAAAAAGGTCATATGGTATTTGGACTTGACCTGGTCTGCAAGCCCTGGAGAACGGCGTTGGCTCCACGCTGGTAAGGCGACAGCGTCTTCTCCTTTCTCGACAAACAAAGGTATACTGGTAAAATAATTAGTACACGGGCAGCAGAGGCAAAATAAATTGGGGAGCATACTACTTGCGTCCAAAATTATTATCAGTAGGTGAGTTGCGTCCCGCAAAAAAAAAGATTCAAAAAGGTCATATGGTATTTGGACTTGACCTGGTCTGCAAGCCCTGGAGAACGGCGTTGGCTCCACGCTGGTAAGGCGACAGCGTCTTCTCCTTTCTCGACAAACAAAGGTATACTGGTAAAATAATTAGTACACGGGCAGCAGAGGCAAAATAAATTGGGGAGCATACTACTTGCGTCCAAAATTATTATCAGTAGGTGAGTTGCGTCCCGCAAAAAAAAAGATTCAAAAAGGTCATATGGTATTTGGACTTGACCTGGTCTGCAAGCCCTGGAGAACGGCGTTGGCTCCACGCTGGTAAGGCGACAGCGTCTTCTCCTTTCTCGACAAACAAAGGTATACTGGTAAAATAATTAGTACACGGGCAGCAGAGGCAAAATAAATTGGGGAGCATACTACTTGCGTCCAAAATTATTATCAGTAGGTGAGTTGCGTCCCGCAAAAAAAAAGATTCAAAAAGGTCATATGGTATTTGGACTTGACCTGGTCTGCAAGCCCTGGAGAACGGCGTTGGCTCCACGCTGGTAAGGCGACAGCGTCTTCTCCTTTCTCGACAAACAAAGGTATACTGGTAAAATAATTAGTACACGGGCAGCAGAGGCAAAATAAATTGGGGAGCATACTACTTGCGTCCAAAATTATTATCAGTAGGTGAGTTGCGTCCCGCAAAAAAAAAGATTCAAAAAGGTCATATGGTATTTGGACTTGACCTGGTCTGCAAGCCCTGGAGAACGGCGTTGGCTCCACGCTGGTAAGGCGACAGCGTCTTCTCCTTTCTCGACAAACAAAGGTATACTGGTAAAATAATTAGTACACGGGCAGCAGAGGCAAAATAAATTGGGGAGCATACTACCACAGAATAGAACAATCAGAATGGACACTGATAAAAATTTATACAGGCAGCATAGGACGAAGACTTGAGTCAGTCACCGCAGGTCCACAGTAGGGCCAGTTCATTTAACAGTTTGACCATTTATATACGAAAAATAAATATGGGATACTCTTATACAATAAAATGTGCTATTTTAATTAAATTATTTTAAAATACAGTGAAACCTGACTCAACGGACACCGCTGAACCGCTCTTAACGGACAAAATTACCAGGTCCCGACAAAAAGATAGGCATGCCAATGTATCGTCTGAAAGAATTTTATTTAAATAAAGGCGATGAAAAAGGATTTTCATATGTGAGCGAATTAAATATCCATCACGATTTGGATATGACCAAATCGAAGTTCAAAAAACCAACATCAATAGAATCATTTTTTAATAAATAATTAATATATTTATATAAATATAATATAATAAATGTATAATGTGACATTGTATGTATGTAATTTAAAAATAATAATTAAAATTAACACTAACCTAATACATATTATAAAATATAAAATTATAAAATAATACAAATGTACCTACTATAAAAATAAATAAAAATTAACATCATAAAAAAAAAGTTTAAAGGTGATAAAGAATATCCAACTTTCGATGTTTCCTTCCGGTTGTTAACATAGCTTTATTTAACCTATTAATGGAATGAAAAATTCTTAGGCGAATGTACAGCTTTTTAAGAAACTCTATATCAAAATTCTTACAAGGATGATCAAATGGAATATTATCAAATAAGTTTTTCAGTTTAGAACCAACATTTGGTTCTACTGCCAATAGAGGAAAGTTAATAATAAAAACATCATCTAATTGATTAATAAAATTGAAAAATTCATTAGGCGGCACATTTAATTTTCCAAAGTTTGAATGGTCAGCAGTTACATATGCTTTATAATAAATAAATAAAAAAATTGTCAGTATAAGATAAAATAATATTCAATATTAGCCATTAGGTAAAATTGTAATTACTGAAATCAGTAGGAACAGCATGGGGCAGTAGAACTTTTTTTTCTATGTTTTTGTACATGCACTCCAGGAAATGATCTGAACAAACCTTAAAGTATGTCAATGATTTTCCAATTAAATCTTCTCGACTACAATTTATCAACCATTGCTTAGACCTAAAATGGTAGTAATAATAAAATAAAATATTGATACGCATTAATTATTAGTAATAGCTAATGTTCTACTTACATAAATTCATCTTCAGGGAACTTAAACAGTTTACACTTCTTCGTGGTGTACTTATACGAATTTATACAACCTTTCACAAGGCATACATACACCATGATGATTATATAAATATAAATCGCACAAAAAATACAAAATACAAAAATAATGATCGGTATTAGCACAGAATATTACAATGTAAGCACAATTTTCAACAGTCAGTTGTAACACAGAATATGACGAGTAGACAGTAGTAGTCAGTTCGTCGCTAGTCAAATGAGTCAAAGGACAAACAAAAAAATACGTTATTTTAATTGAGATAACAATAAAATGTGGTATCATAGCTAATTCAGTGCTACCAAAAATGAAAACGTTAAAATTACATATTTTCCCAGATACTTGCCCCTACTGCGGACCTGCAGTGGTTGATTCTCTACTATCAGCCCGCCGCCGAGAAGTGTCCTACCCCTGATACTACTTGCGTCCAAAATTATTATCAGTAGGTGAGTTGCGTCCCGCAAAAAAAAAGATTCAAAAAGGTCATATGGTATTTGCGTCCCGGTATACCTTTTTCTATGACCTAATTGCGTCCCGAAAATATCGATATAATCGACATAAAAATGTACATTGATGATACGAATTTAATTTATAATAATAATATAAAAATGGTTACAATAAATTATCTGCAGTTCAATTCAATTGCAATATTAATAATAATAATAATAATATAAAAATTCATGTTATACATTTTGTCATCAAAATAATAATAATATAAAAATTCATGTTATACATTTTTTCATAATAAATAAAGTATAATATAATAAAAAATAATAAAAAAATGCAATAAATCATTACCGAATCATACTGAATTTACAATTTATGAACTATCGGTTTTAGTGACACGATACTATCGATTTTAATGATTTCTGAAGATAATATCGATAATAATAATATGGCTGACTTGTGTCCCCCAAAACGGGACGCAACTTACCGGTCAAATTTCCTACCTGAAAAATATATTTTCTTATGGGACGCAAGTAACATGCAGCCATAAATTGAGCTGGATGGTGGTATGATATCTGTACTTAATAGTCGTGCACGATTACGGCTTAACGCGTCAGACCCCAACTACCTTGGGACTTAGACATTCGCCGCGTACAATTGGCGTCACGCACACTCACAACACCCAGAATTTCGTGATCACACGAGGTTGTGACGGCGGCGGCGAGCGGGCGCGACGTTGGATCTACCTCGACCGCTGAAAAAACGGGCGCCGGCGGCACTACCTGCAGCTGGTAAGCAACGGTGAACAACCCGGCGCTGGTCGACAGCGGAGGGGGTGAACCACCTTGCGAGTGTGCTACGTCCGATGAAAACATATATTATATTATGTAATGTAAATAAAATTTTAAAATATTTATTTAAGAGAGGTCTGCGAAGTAATATATATGGCGTCTTTATCCCATTTCGAGATGAAAGGAGTGCCATGCGAATTTAAAAGTTGGGTTTTCAAATTCGAGTAAATAATTAGCTTGATTTTGCAATAAAAATTTCCTTACAGCTAATTATTCTGCCATTATAATGGCTAGTAATATCTGATGCTGGTTCATAAAATGTAGGTATTAAATTTGTTTTTGATTTTTTGTGGGAGGGGGGGTGGATTGTTTAGAGAATTGCAATGTCAAAAAATATATAAAAATACACTATGAAAAAAAGTGGGTACAAGCAGATGTCGCTCTACTGTATATAAGTTGTCTAGAAGGTCGCTGTAATGTATGGTATTAAATTTGAATTCAATGTTTTTGTTTTTGTTTTTTTAATTTAATTTTATAATTTTTTATATTTTCGATAAATTAGAATATTTACAATCTGTAATATTTATATACAATACAATACGTAAATTTGATAATATAAGTGGAAACATAACGTGAAATAGCGTGAGGAGAGAGGTCCACCAGTGTGGATACATTCTAACTTAAGGTAGAGTTTATTATTATTATTTTTTTAATTAATGCATGTCAAGATCTTGACACCAGTGACTTTTTAATCGACGTGGGGGGTTATTTGGCATGAATTCACTGGCTAAGTTAGAAATCAATGGATTTGTGTAGTTAACTGCTTTGATGTGAACATTTTTTTAGTAGTTTTAGCGACGTTTTGATGTTGAAGAACATCGAAGAATGATGACAGACACATAAATAAAATAATACAAATCTAAAATCAATACATTCATCGCTACACTCAGACTCAGTATCTAAAAGTTTGAATATATTTTTTTAAGCGTAAAATACGAAGAAAAGAAATTTATAATACCTATCATATTTTAAAACCTTAATTTCATGTTACAAATACCCTTGAGTATGTATCAAAATATAATAAAATAGGTATAATACAAATTTTCCAATTTCCAAAAAACAGGTCTAGAATCACTGATTAGTTGGTCTCGTATATTATAATATTCGATTACATTATACGAGTTTGGTACTACGCCTGTCTGGCTTCCACCCCCTTAGGATGGAGGTCACTGACACTCCCACACACAATAAACACGAGTTATACTTAATTGGAAACCACTCCACCGCGACCCTACTATTTGACCACTATTAAACTCACCAAATATATTGTCTGTACCCGATTCTCCATGGATGCGTAGCCCGGGGCAACCGGGCAAAAATCAATAAAATATTAAAAATCGACATGAAACCATAATATACGACGACAGCATGTAGTCACGAATTTCAAATTATTATTACTTATAATTCTTAACGTAACTTATTTGTATACGATGTTATTATTTCCATTATTATCATCATCATTCTGAAAATAATTATCACGTACTAAAAAATAGGATTTTCGAAAACAAAATTCAATTATAAAAAGGTTATAATAATATATAACATAATGGGTAGGTATTGAAAACCTCTGAGTACGAATCATCCATCCATTAATAGTTTTAGGGCTGTATATTACATGTACCTTTTTTTATTATTGTTATTATTCAGTATTCTTGACTTAAATTCAACTGTAACTTTTGTTGCAACTTGTTTTTACAATTAGCATACATTTATTAATTTTATTAATTTTAATTACATTTAGGTTAATTAAAAAATAAAAAAAATAATGGAGAATTAAACATCAAAACTTTATTATATAATATAATTGAGTACCTAATATCAAATGATCTTAAATAAATACTTAAACGATTATTGCCTTTATACATTTATATCTATGTTATATTATTTTAACTATAGAAAGAACAAAGATCAAAGGTCAACAATTAAGAGAATTGAGTGATAAGTTTTCTGTGAAATTTATTTGAAATCAAAGTACATAATACTATTATACATCATTTTTCTATAATTCTTCGCAGGGGACATATTTTTAAATAATAACTATGTCAGGATTGATAAACCTGAATTTAATTCATACGTTGGGATTAAAGAGGATAAACATGATTTATCAAGCAACTATAATAACTACCTGTTAAATCGGCTTACATATCAACAGTGTTACTGAGTAGACGCCATAGCCTACAGGTAGTCAGACTCATATAATATATTTATATGATGTCCAGTGGCTGGAGTTGTGACTTAAGAGGTATTCCGAAATTTGAAGCCACCTTCCTCTATTCCAAACTAACAAACAGAAAACTAAAAATCATAACTAAAGGTACTGTCTTAATACTTAATTGTAAATTATTCTTTTTAGTTTGCGAGTAGATTATGTTTTAAAATGTTTGAGTGATTATTTATTAAATAATAATCAAACATTAAAAAATTGATGAAATATTGAAATATTTTATTTAAATCAGAAAGTTGAAAACCTCAATAATTTATGCAGATAATCAATAACTCAAAGTACCATACCTCAAAAAAATTTAGTAAAATATTTTTTAAACACATACATATTTTATCGTAACAAGCAAAATTTGTTTATAGCAAAACAGCCGAAGACATTTTTATAACTTTAGATTAGTAAAATGCATATCAAATAGAAACTTCGAAAATTGTGATGAACGCTTTGATGTGGCCTAAAAACAAAATCCAAAAGTTATGAATAACATATAAATCCCAAATCTTCTTTGTAACCATTATAAATGACAATATATAATTGCAGATTTCAAAATAGGGGCGTCATTTCAGTTTTTTCTGGGTGTGCAAAACTTTTAGGCAGGCCAATTTTGCCATTTCACCAGACCATAAAAATAAAATACATTTATATAATTATTATATAAATGTAAGTAACCAATGCAAACCAATTCAAATTTCTAATTTTCTGTTTATTTTATTCTAATGTTGCTATATTAAATTACTATTATTATTATTATTTTGATTATCACTATTGTTACTATTATTACTATTATTATTACTATTATAACTATTGTTAACTCTGTGCTCCATCACAAGCTTAGGCTTAAAGGAGTAGATATATTTCTTTATTTTTACGATTTATTGTACATTGAAAAAAAAAAAATAAAAAAAAAAAAAAAAATATCAATTTGTGTAGGTTCTTTCCTTAATATAATTCTAATTGAAAATCATAACGACAAATGCAACCTTAAAATATAAACTAAATTATAACTATTAAATGCTTTTGTACAATAATACAATATTATTTAATATAAAATTAATATTCCTATAAAANAAAAAAAAAAAAAAAAAAAAAAAAAAAAAACCTATGAAAATATTATTTCCTTCCTTTCTATAATTCTAATTGAAAATCATAACGACTAATGCAACCTTAAAATATAAACTAAATTATAACTATTAAATGCTTTTGTACAATAATACAATATTATTTAATATAAAATTAATATTCCTATAAAACTTTAAAAAATACATATCTATTTCAACGGGCCCTCAAAATACCCGGACCCCTGTGGTAATCTGGGTCTAACCGCTCCCCACCCCTTGTGGGGTCCCTAATTTCAATAAATACCCTAATTCCAAAAAAAGTACTATTTTAGTTAAAAAGTTCAAAAATTTGAATTTGTTAATGTAAACCACATTTGACATTCATTACATTATAAGTTTTCTTTAATATTACCAATATTTATTAATAATATCATTTTTTGAATAAATATTAGTTTTATGAAAACATACATTACAATACAAATTATAAATTTTTGTTTCATTGAAAAAAGAAAGGTAAATTTAGTCGAAATAGGAATCGATCTTTTTTAAATATGGTCAAAAATTGAACCTGGGAATTGTACATTATTATAAAAATGATATGTGTATGTTTCTAAAATTGTATAAAAAAAGTATTTATGTGCATTTCTACACGACAGGAAAAAAATATTACTGTGTATGTAAGCGTAATGTATGAATTTTAATTCATAGTAATTATATTCTAGTTATAACTAGTTATTTTATAAAATTACGAGTACTTTCAATT